AGGGTTTTTTTTTTTTTTTTTTTGTATCATTCTTCACAATTTCAGTGTACCAGTTGATGCTGTGGTTCATGGAAGAACTCACAGAGCTCCTTTGAGGAACGGGCAGTTCTCGCTTGGCTTTGAATTCACTTCCTCTCACTGTGTCTCTTGCACAGTAATAGCGTCCCGTGTCCTCCAGCTTGAGGCTGTTCATTTGCAGATACAGCTGGCTTTGGGCATTGTCCCTGGAGATGGTGAAGCGTCCCTTGACTTTGTCTGAGTAGTAAATGCTCGGTGAAGTTGGATGTATGTATGCGACCCATTCCAGTCCTTTCCCCGGATACTGTCTCACCCAGTACATGCCATAGCTGAAGGTGAATCCAGAGTCTTGGCAGGAGAGACGGAGGGAGTCTCCAGGTCTTTTTACATCCCCTCCAGACTCCACCAACTGGACCTCTGACTGGACACCTAGAAGGAAACATTGTTTAATAAGATCTTCTGTGGGGAAATACCAAAAAGGGGATTAAAAAACTTCTTTTTGGTGGGGAAAAACAATACCTCTGAGGACTACTAATAACAAGATGAGGTTTATCCAGGGTGTCATTTTTGTTCAGTCTAAAGTTCAGAGGAGTCTTACTGATGGGAACACATTCAGACAAGCTCTCAAACTTTCTGCTCTTGGGCAGAGCAGGAGAGCAGGAAGATATGGCTCCTTTGAGCAGGAAGCTCTCACTGAATTTGCATAGCCCTCAGGTTAAAAGAGCCACACATTGCTTTGACCTTCTAGAGTTCCTTTATCCTACAATGTAGACATGGTTTTCCAATGCTGAACAACTCCCAACATCAGTCAAGGCACAGTTTTTAAATCCTTAAAAATAAGTGAAGCAGTAGGTTTATCTTATTGGAGGTAAAACCATGTCTTCTAACCGTGAAGGTCATATGGCTCATCTGAGCAGGAAACTGCTGTTCAGTTCACATACTCTTCTGCATCAAAATGTCAGTCTCTGCTCTGACCTTGTAGAGATTCTTCAACCTATATTACAGATGTGATGTTCGGATGATGAACCAGTCCTATGCCAATCAAACTGTTTTACAAAGAGATGCAGATTTTCAAGGGTGAAGATTTTTTTTTCTGAAAAACTTCCACTCTGAAAAATGTTTCTAGAATCCAAACTCAAAACCAACATGCAGAAACGCCCTTACAAAATTATTTTAATAGCCTCCTTAGAGACAGAGCAGGAGGGCATATGGCCGTTCACCCAATTTGGTAAGCTGCTTTATCTTAACAATTGTTTGTTAAACAAACTAGAGTTAATTTGCTGCTGGCTACTCTTTCCAAGGATTGAATCTTTCCAAGTCACAAAGTAAACCTAAGAAATCACTTTGCGACCAATCACTGGTGCTTTGACCATCCAGAGTTCCTTCAGCCTACCTTTTAGACAACTTTTGTGATGCTCAACAAGCCCCAGCACCAGTCGAGGCAGATTTTTTTTCAACCCTTAAGAAAGGATTGAAGCATCAAGTTTATTAGGTGAGAAATACAGCAATGGCGTGCAATATTAAAGGACATGCAATATATGTAATTTGAGTGGGACACTGCTCCAGAATTGACGTAGCTTTGGGGATAAAAGTAGAGCTCTGTGCTTTGACCTGTTAGATTTTCTTGACCCTGTATTAGACAAATGATATTTAGATGACTAACACATTATAGACCCATCAAGATAATATGTTCATATTGCTACACAAAGGGGTGCAGATTTTCAAGGGAGAATTTTTTTTTTCTTTTTGCAGAAGCTCCAACTCAGAAAAGTGTTTCTAGAATTAAAATGCAAAACTAAAACATGCAGAGACACCCATCAAGAATTATTTAATAGCTACATTAGAAACAGAGTGGGAGAGCATATGGCAGTTCACACATTACTGATAAGCTACCATGGTTTGTTAAAGCCACCAACCTTATTCTGATGCAGGCTACACAACCAAGAATAATTTCCAAACAACAAGGACTCTTTCTTTGCAAGTCACAAAGTAAAACCAAGAAATCACATTATGATGAAACATTTTCTCCGAAAACGGTGAATAGGACACCTTGTAACTCCTAAAAATTCAGTTACCTTTAGGGTCAAGAAAGGAGGACTATGATGAACGTAGCCTTGGTTTTGTGATATAGCCTTATAATTACTATAAGAAGAGTAGCTTCTTGAGGAGCAGAACTGACATGGGACCATCTCTGTGAATTTTCAAGCCACCAACCAGGAGAATCATCAGCCTCAGGACTGAAACCCCATCAGGAAAACTTGATTTCTTTTTTCCTGCCCCTCCCCCCATGGGTAATGGGGTTCTGTGGGACAAAACTGCCCCCTGGTGTGCATGATGGGCCAAAGCAGGCTTGGTTCTCCAGGGAGATGCTTACATTGCAAGAGAGGAAGTGAGTCTGGGAAGATGTGACTCAGCTCCAGAAGATTGAAGCAGGTGTAGTGAGAAAGCAAAGATACTCATTGATTTCGTCATCTGAAACAGGCTTGGAAAGGTGACTGGTCTGGAGGGTGCGGAGAGGGCAACCTTCTTGTTTTCATCTTTCTAATGGAATTGTCAGGCCTCATAATCCGAAGGAGATCAGGACTGCTTTAGCAGAGTTAGGCAACACTGCTCTGTTCTTCCTTCATTCTAGGTTTCCTCATAGAAAATAAGGATGTCAGCTATTTATTTTTTTTTTTTTTT